CCCCAAAACCCCAAAACCCCAAAACCCCAAAACCCCGAATTTAAGAGAGGATCTTGAGTATGTTTTATTTTTTATTAAGGTTATAATGGATTCTGGTGAATTCGGAGTTGTGAAGGAACTTCTTTTACAAGTGATGGCGAGTGATAATGAGGTTAGAAGAGAAGCTGAAAACAAATTAACACAAGTGAGGCAGGCTAACTTTGACAAATACTTTGCCTACATGGTCACAGGGTTTGCAGATCAGGGGGTTGACCTTAGGGCCAGAGCCATGGCACTTATTTTGCTCAGGAGAGATATCCTTGAGAATAATCATGAAGAGCCAAGTGTATGGAGCAAGCTTACTGGCGAGACTAGAGAATATATTAAGGCTCAGATTTTAGAAGTTCTAGCAAATGAGACTGATCCTCTGATTTTTAACAAGATAGCGGAATTTGCTGCGAAAATAGCCATCGCCATCAATGATGTCAATTACAATGATATTTGGCTAGACCTATTTAATCTCTGCAAAAGGCTGATTAGTGAAGGAAATGAAACCCAAACCAAAGCAGGGTTGGTTGTGTATGCTGAAGCAATGAATGGCTTGAGTAATGAGATCGTTGTAAACGATGCTGACTTATATGCCATGTTCGAAGTGACACTCAAGAACCAGAACATCGAGATTTCTCTTGCATCTCTAAAAGCAATCTGACAATTTCTGACAACAGTTATGCCAAAGCATGCTATACGCTTTGTTGGATTACTTGGAGATATGGTCAACATCTCAGTGAGAGCCATCAAGAGTTGAGAGTACAAAGTCTTAGAGGAATCAATGGAGGTCTTAATAGCAATAATAGAGGCTGAACCTAAGTTCTTCCTGAACGACTTCCCAGATCTTCTCCAAGTCTTCACTTCTATCTCTCAGCAGAGTCAACATTTGAACGAGACTCTCAAGAAGCTTCCAGTAGAACTTCTAATATCAATTGTAGAGAGGGATTCAAGCCTGCTTACGAGGAATGAAGATCACTTGAAGCAAATACTTGACCTGACATTTACTCTTATGGTAGAGGTGGACGAGGAAGTGATAGAAGAGTGGCTAGACCCGATAAATGCCGAACAAATTTTAGAAGAAGCAGAAAGCGACACGATAGTTTTTGGACGAGAATTCATGGATAGGCTCTGTAGTTGTGCTAACGCAGAATACATTCTAGCACCCATCTGCACTCTTGTCAAACAAGCTGTTGACCATGAAGACTGGAAGCAAAAGCAAGCAGGGCTTAATGCCTTCTCGCAGATTGGTGAATATGTATCTGAAATTGAGCAAATCAGCGATATGATTCCAACCGTTATCGAGCATTGTAAGCATGAACATCCAAAAGTCAGACATGCAGCAGTACATTGTTTGGGACAATTTGCTAACGATCTAAAACATCAACTCACTGAAAACTTCCATGAGACTGTTGTGCCAGCTCTATACGAAGCAATGAATGATAAGGTTAATAGAGTAAAAGCGCATGCTTCTGGATGAATGTCTAACTTTTTAGAGAATGCTTCTCAAGAAATTGGACTTAAATACTGTGAGGAGCTTCTTGAACATCTCTTTAAATTAATTAAGAGTGAATCTAGCTACTTAGCTACAAATGCAGTCACATGAATTGCATCTCTTGCTCAGTCATGAGACCACGAGTTCAATGCTTATTTTGACTCTTTCTGTAATGAACTTCTCCCAATTATTACTCAAAAAGCTCCTAAAGATTTCAGGAGGTTCAAAGGTCAGGCTATAGAGAGCCTTACTATTTCAGCTGTGTGCATTGGTCTTGATAATTTTAGATTTCATTCTGAAAAAGTGGCCAAGGCCTTGATCCTCATACTCAAGAACCACTTAGATGAAATTGGCGATCCCCAGAGGAAATATATTCTTGGGGGATTTCAAAGGCTTGCTTTAATTATGGAAAAAGAGTTTGCTCCTATATTACCTGAAATAATGCCAGATATTCTTAAAATGGCTTCTCTTTATCCTAAGCTTCGATCTACATTAAAAGTACCAAATATTTCTGAAAATTATAACGAAGACCAAGATCTAATGAATGAGGATACAAGCCCAGATGAGTCAGATGAGATTGAAGAAATAGACACAATAGCTCAAATACTTTTTGTGTTTATTGATGAGCTTGAAGAGCTCTATGCTCCATACATAGAACAAACTTCTGAGCTATTTGTTTCTCTTTCAACGTTCAGCCATTCTGATAAAGTTAGACAGAATGCATCTGAGTGCTTGCCGAAAATTCTAAAGATCGTCAAGAAATGAGAGAATGAAAATATGAGAGCCCAGCCATACTGAGAAAAATTTATTGACATTCTTTTTGGAAATCTAAAAATAGAAGGAAATGTCCCTGTTATGAAGTATCAGATTAACGCAATCAAGGACTGTATTGATGAAGTTGGAGATTTTCTAAGCGAAGACCAAATTAACCAAATGGGTGAAGTATTGGTCGAAATGATCTCAAAATCTGACAGCAGAAAGGATCTCAACAACAAATTTCATAATGAGAACGGGCAAGGAGAAAGTGAAATTGATGAAATGAATAGAGGATTTTTAGATGAAGAAATTCAAGAAGAAGATGATCTTCAGATCTCGATTAGTGAAACATTCGGAGTTATTTTCAAAACTCATAAGAACAAATGTGGGGTCTTGGCTTCAAACTTACTAAGCGATCTTGTATCATCTTATATTGATGAGAATGCTTCATTTGCTAAGCAGAAATTTGGAGTTTACTTGATTTGTGATGCTGTTGAGTACCTAGGACCAGATATTCTTAGTACTAAATATCAAGATTGTTTGAGTACTTTTGTTAGATTATCAAAATCAACAGATCCCCTAGTCAGACATGGAAGTGTTTATGGGCTTGGAGTTTCTTCCATCACAGGAGGAGATCTATTTGCTCAATATTCTGCGGATGCTCTTGAAATTCTTAAAGAAGCCATCGAAATGGAGCCAGGATCTCAAGATATTTCAGATTACAACCATGCTCGAGATAATGCAGTCTCTGCTTTCGCAAAAATATTAAAATATCAGCATGCACCTATTGACACAGAAGCTGCATTTGAATATTTACTCCAACACGTCCCACTAAGACACGATATGATTGAATCAAAACTCACAACCAACTTCATAATCGACACAGCCCTAAACAACCCTACCCTATTCACCAGCAACGATCACCAAAACACCCCTCAGCTCATCACTTTCATCCAAAACCTCTCCACCTCCAGCCTCGCCTCCACCACTCTAACCAACCTCCAACTCCTCCTCTCCTCCCTCTCCTCCGACCCAACAGCCCACAGGCTGCTCTCTGACGCAAACATCTCCTTACCGCTCCAGCACCCTTAAAGCTCTAATACGTAGTCCTAAGTTGTTTTATTCAGCCTAAAGTTGAATTTTGGGGTTTTGGGGTTTTGGGGTTTTGGGGTTTTAGGGTTTTGGGG